ATAGCCGCCGAGCGAGAGCTGAAAGCCCGTTCCTGACGACGTCCGGCCGATCCACGACCCGTCATAGGGATAATCCTTGCCGATTGCCGTCGGCGGCAGCACGCCCTTCAGCTCGGGCACGGAGTCCAGCACCGCCTTGACGAAGGTGTTCGAATTCGGTCCCGGCCAGGCGCTGTAATCGCCGGTGCGGCTGAACTTGTAGGTGTCAATCGTATGCTGAAGTTTTGGGATCAGCCGGGCGGCCTGATCGCCGTCGACGGCGAGGATGGTTTGCGGGGCGGCGCCGAACCAGCGGCCATCCGCGGCGAAGCCGTTGATGCGGATCGGTTCGCCCCAAGCCGTGTAATCGTATCGGCTGTAGCCCGATGCGTTGGGCGCCTTCATCACGATCCACGTGTGCACGGCGAAGATGCCGCGCCAGCTGACGGTGCGGGCCGCGAACACCCGGATCATGGCCTCGGGGTGTTCGGCGGGGGCGGGGAGCAGCCCGGCACTCGATCGATCGGCAATCTGCCAGTTGCCACGACGTTCACCCAGGAAATAGCCCGCCGCCGATACACTGATCGGGGCCAGAACCAGCAACAATATCAGGATCAAAAGGCGTCTCACGGTCCGGGTGGGGCTGTTTTGCCATCTTGATATAGGATCGTCTCCGGGGACTGCCAGTTGCCTGGGGGGATTCTGATCTGGCCGCCCTTGCTTTGGCATCACGTGGTGCCTCGGGATGAGGACCAGTCAGTCGAAGACAATCGTGCTCTCGACGGGAATAGCGTCAGAAAATGTCGTCTGGAGCGGGAGGTTGCATCAACTCCGTCATCCTGAGGTGCGAGCCTTGCGACGCAATTGCGTCGCCGGGCGAGCCTCGAAGGATGCACGGCCGGGGGCCGTCGTCCTTCGAGGGCCGCGCTTCGCGCGGCCACCTCAGGATGACGGATTACATTGAGCGAACCTTATCTCATCACGGCCTTAGTTCACCGGCTTGATCTCGGAAAAGACCGTGCTGAGACTATCCACGATGGGCTCTGCATCGGTTGCCGTAGCGGATAGCTTGAGTTCCGGGAAGTAGACTTGAAAGCTGTGATGGGCGCGGGCGGCATCGTTGGTGGTGTCGAGCTCTCCACGGATCGCCTGGAGGACACAGGATCCAGCCGCGATTGTGTCCTCCGATTTGAATTTGTACGAGATCGTGCTGGTTTTCTCCTCGGTCGTGCTCTCACCGTCCGTCGTGACCGCATGCATCTTGAAGATCGCGTCC